AAAAAAAAGAAAATATTTGGGTTTAAAAAGAGGAAAAAAAAGGAAAATATTTGGGGGAAAAAAGGGGAGAAAAAAGAAAAATATTTGGGTAAAAAAAAAAGAAAGAAGAAGTTTATTAAAAAAAAAAAAATCAAGAATTCGCTCCAGGGAAGCCACGTATTTTCCGCTTTCATTTGTTTTAAGGTTCAAAAATAAAAACAGAGGGGCTTTTCTTTTCTTTTCTTTTCTTTTATTTTCTTTTATTTCATTTTATTTTATTTTAATTTTTAAAAATAAAACCAAGAAAAAGCGGCCGCGAGGAGGAGGAGGAGGCCGAGGGTTCCCCTGCAATAATCGGGAATTTTTTAATTATTTTTTTTTAATTATTTTAAATTTATTTTTAATCTGAATGAGGAGGGCGCAGCAAATCCCGATTTTGGGTTTTTTTTGGGTTTTTTTTTTGGGGGTGAAATCGAGATTTTTTTTTTTTATCCCTCAGAAAAGTTTTGGGGATTCGGAGGCGCCGCCGCTCTTCCCCCACACCAAATCCCATTTTTATTTTTATTTTCATTTATTTTATATTTTTTTTTTTTCCCACCATAAATCCCATTTCCCTGGATTTGAAATTCCTGAAAGAATGAGCCATGGAAAAAAAAAAAAAAAAGGAGAAATCCCAAATTCTCACCTCGGGGAGGATTGGGGATATTTTTATTTTTTTTTTTCCCTAAAATTCCATTTTTTTATCCCAAAATTTCCGCCCGGACTTTCCCGATCCCGGTCGCCATTTTCATCCCAACCCCCCCCTTTTTTTTCCTCCCTTTTAAAAAAATTTAATTTATTTATTTTTTTTTCTTCCTTTTTATTTATTTTTAACCAGAATTTCTCCCCCCTCCTTTTAAACCCTAAAATATTCCAGAGAGGGAGAAATTTTTTAAAAAATTAAAAAAAAAGAGAAGGGGNAGAATAAAAGGAGAATAAAAGGGAAATAAAAGGGAAATAAAAGGAGAAGAGAGGGAAAGTTGGAGGAGGAATAGAGGGAAAAGAAAAGGAAAAAATCAGGGGAAAGAAAAGGAAAAATTAGGGAAGAGAAAAGGAAAAATAAAGGGAGAAGAAAAGGAAAATAAAGGGAAAAGAAAAGGAAAAATAAAGGGAAAAGAGAAGGAAAAATTAGGGAAGAGAAAAGGAAAATAAAAGGAAAAATCAGGGAAAATAAAAGGAAAAAGAGAGGGAAAATAAAAGGAAAATTAAGGGGAAAATAAAGGAAAAAAATAGGAAATAAAGAGGAAATAATCGGGGAGGAAACAGGAGAGGAAATAAAAAAAGGAGAAGGGGAAAATCAGGAAAAAACTGAGGAAAAAATTGAAGAAATTGAGGAAGAAATTGAAGGAATAGAGGAGGGAATAAATGGGAAAATAGAGGAATAAATGGATTAAAAGGCAGAGGAGAAATAAAGGGAAAGGGACAAATGAGGAAAAAAATCAAGAGATAAATGGAGAAAAAGGTGAAGGGATAAAAAAAGGAAAAGAGGAATAAAAAGAGCGAGAAAATCCAGGAGCGACCAGATGAGAAAATAGAAGAGAGAAAAAAAAAAAAGAAAGGAGGAAAAAAAAAGGAGAAAAAACGGAGGAAAAAAGAAGAAAAAAGGAGAGAAAAAGAAGAAAAAAAAACAGAAATAAAGGAGAGGAAAAGGATCAAAAATAAAGAAGAAGAAAAGGAGGAAAAAAAACGAAAAAAAGGAGAAGAAAACGGAAAAAAGGAGAAAAAACCGGAAAAAAAGGAGGAATAAAGGAGAGAAAAAAAGGAGAAAAAATCCCCAAAACAAGGAGGTAAAAAACTAAAAGAGGAGGAAAAAAAGGAGGAAAAAAGGCCAAAAAAGGA